TCTTCTCTTTCGCGCTCCGTCGCGACACTCATGCTAACGCAGTACTGGTGTTTGTCGGTGAGCATAATTATAATGATAACATTAAGTACCAATAGTATTTAGAATATTATCAATGGTTCGGGAAGCATTAAATGGAATCAACGCTTTGAGGGAATACAATAGAATGTGATAAAAGTGCGTCTGTAGCTTACCAAGAAACAGACGAAATTGAGATAGTATTGTAGACCGAGAACGCAGAATGACGATTTGATAAGAAAGAAATACTGATCAATAGCCCAACTGAAGTGTTCCTTGGTTGAGAGATATAGAATGATACAGTCGATTTAGACAAATGAATCTCGATGTATCTCGATAATTCATATGAGCGAATGTATTGATTGGTGTATCTGTGTATATTGGTAAGGATATGTGAATTGAAATTATCAACAGCCAACAGGAAATGTTATAATGAATGTACGCGTCAAAACGGACGACGACAACTCACAAAGACGGATCTGCTGTTCTCGTTGCATCCTGAAACGTTTTTACTTGTTAACGAAGCGACATGTTCGTAGACGATCAAGTAAACTGCACTGGCTTAAGGTCATTGAAAATAATTCCTTTGAGAGGTTGACTGCTAGATGTATGTTCAAAAGGAACTCATATATCGTGAATCTATCATTGCCTCTATGCGATACGAAGTGCCATCAGGGTATGACTAACGTTTAAAGAGCCATGATGCATCTATCTCCCTTCAACTATCCATCTGTCCATTTCATCCGCTCACCCAATCATCCATTCAACAGTTGTCTAATGCGCCCTAAAAATCTTATTCTTTAGCTTTCGTTCTTGACACCCGCTCGTTTGTGTTGATTCATTCGCTTTTCTCTTCCTCGATATTTCGGTTTATTCGAATAACGCAAATTTATTCCGATCTCATACCTCTCAAAAACGATATTTCTCAACTTTTACTTCTTCACTACTGTTCCCCATCATTTTTGCAATATATACTTTCAACACTATGACCTATGAAGCTAACTGCAAGGCTATTAAAAGCAGAAATTCATAAAATAACAAACCGCTTTGAAGCAGGCTGGATGTAGAGCAAAATACCGCCAGATTGATGTTTATTTGTTGTTCATCCTTTTTGTTTTCACAATGATTTGCTATCAGAACGTCAAGTTCACGAATGTAATGACCATTTTCTTATCCATTTCGCATTACACACATTAAACATATACATTATTAACTCTGATTAGTACTACCACCAGTAAAATGATGGCTTTTATCTTACTGTTAGTGAAATGTTTTCTGGGATGAGCGATGAATCTCGTGAACGCATTTGAAAATGAAATAGTCGCGTCAGAATTTGGAAGATGCTGAAATACCTTTATCGCATACAGTGCATATGATTTATGACACTGTTGTAAATAATAGGACATTCTATTTGCAATTGTTCAAGCAAATTGCATCTGCTTAGGGTATGTTCGATAACAGTTTTCACATCTCTGCCCATTATCTTACTGAATTCATTTTAAGCACATTCTCTCTCTGAACAATTATGACCTATGATGCCGTTTTCAAAACATTACAACTTATTGAATTTATTGAATTCATATATCTTATCAAAACATTATATCTTATTTGCAAAAATTTTGAGAATTTATTAATTTTGTAACGTCTATATCACTTCATCCATATATCATCATTTACTGTTTATCTTGCCTTTAATCTTATTGACATTATCATTCAGATCGTTGTTGTGTTACGTTACTGACGATATAAGCTTTGTATTCATATTCACAAATATTGTGTGCTCTGTACGGGTGTAGGGCCTGTGTTCTTTGTACCGCCGTAAAGCAATTATATTTTAAGAAGTTCTCGTGTTCAACATACTAAATTCCCTCCAATTACTCCCCATGTGTTCGACACCTGTTTCGGTTGAAATCACCTTTATTCATAGTCTCCTAGCTTACTCCGCGTTGAAGCCACCCTAATCCAATTGTCTCTGACACTAATAACGTCGCCGCATGAAGTGTGCTGGTTTCGACTCGTCGAACTTCGCGAATTTATTTCCTCATCTCCGAAGACTTAACCCATTTTCTTTGACATCATAAGTATTTTGCTGCTTTGGTTTTAACAAAGTTGACCACAATTATTCCACGTGATGAATTGCTTTTCAAAAACACTGCCAATGCTTTTTTTGCGAACAAATTCACTTGCACGCGATATGTGGAAATTTTTCAAATTCCGAAATCTCTAAGAAGCAAGTATATCTGTGCTTTTTTGTCTGTGAACGTACACTTACCCTGGTTTTCAACGTTTTGCCTATCGCCGCTATCGTTATTCGTCATGCTTCAACACACGAATCTGTCGGGTTTTAATTCGGCAACTACTGTGTACCAGTGCAACAAGTGCCCTCATTAAGCACTGCGCTGATCAGCAAACCAGAAGAAATCTGATCAAAAAAATGAACACGCGATTGTTAAGAAGTTCAGTAGGCTGACTTCAAATGTCTGTTTCGGTTATTTTTTGCAGTTATGGACATAGTGCCAATATTCATTAGGATCTGTCGATAAAATATCTCCCGACTGTTTGTTCATTCATCTTCGCACAAACATCACAATTATAATTCTCAATTCTTTCGGGTTTACTTGCGCATAAGCCCCAGCCAAAGCTTAATCCTAAGTTTCAGCTAACACTCAAGTCACATGATGCGATAGCATTCAACGAGCTTCGACAACTGATTCTTATATGGGGATGAAGTGCTGAGAAAAGTTGATAAAAACCATGCTTACGATAGAAACCATTGTTAATATAAAATAGTTTATTTCAGTATAGTTGGTGTTTTATTGGTGTTTCATTGATTAAAGAGTCTTTAATGAAAATAAAAAGTTGTCAATAATTGAAATAGGTGCATTGTTCAGTTAACTTCATTCATTAGCGAACAAACGCGTCGTCCAGTTGCACAATTATAATATTAATCTAATGAACGAGGCGAACAAATGTTACTTTAAGAAATTAAACGACCGTTTCATGTTTTGATCTTTATATTCGTAATACTCAACCTTTCATAACTAATTGAATATTTAAATTTAAACAACAAATGGTGAATCGTTACGCTTAGGCGAGGCTCGAACGTAGGCTGAACTAACGATAATGCTACAACCGGCCACAAGACAGGCTGTAACCAATTGCAATCGTGCAATTAATTTAAAGTCGACATATTAATGCATTCGTTTATCAGTTGAATCAATTAACTCTTCGCTTGGACCGACAGACTGCTACATTTCTAAAACTGAATGGAAGGAGCACAGCCACTGCAACAAAACGTTGTTTTTTGTTTCGTAGATGCTGATAAATTTTTGCTTATAATCTGACCTCTACGAGCGATTCAAAACTGAATGGCTCAAATTCTTTTTTTTTGCTTCATAACATTCAATCATACGGATAAAGTCAGTAAAATATTTTACGAAAGGGTGTTTTCTGTTTAGTGCAAATATCTTCTTTTTTTCTGTCGTTTTCTCCTCCTCCTTACGGCTTCCACTCGAAGAGCCTCACTCAACAGACGAAAAGGTGCACCATGAATATGATTACATTCCGGAATCCTGACTTTTTAATCTGGATCTCGGTCCCGGATTTATGCTCTGATCTCATTCCCCGAAGAATCTCAGGTTTCGGGACCCAATAGAGCACAG